ACCACACCATGCGGTTCCTTCGTTTCGCCCGTCCCTCAGCTAGTTCTTTCGATCTTCTGCCTGCTCAACCAACAAATCAATCCCGCTGATGGGTGATTGCTGATGGCAAAAGATCGATAAAACTAGCTGAGAGACAGGCGAAACGAAGGACCTGCGTGATGTGGTGGTGAACGCGCTCCACCCCGGAAAGGACAATAGCGCGTTCGTTTCCCACCGCATACACCTGCGGTTCGGTGTTTTGCAAATATCTGTAATTATGACCTTGAGGAATGTGTGGTGTTCTCTGTAAAACTTCTCCAAGTCCATATACAACGCTTCGACTTCGTCTTCGTCATAATTTGATCTCGGCGCGTAAACAACGAAGATTGTCAAAGCCGGTATTGATCGGCGTCTTTTTAATCGTAAACGTCCGATTCGGGTTGTAAGTTTATCGAATGAATCGATGTTCGCGGACAAACTGGTGTTGACGAGAACGCTGACGCCGCCGACTCCTCTGCTGTCGCATGTTTCGAGGAACAGTTCTTCTCCGGTGTCATAGACGGCGGTAAAAGGCTGGCGTCTTCTCGTCTTGGCCAGGCCAATGACGTCGTACCTTATCCTTCTTGCTTGCATGAGCGAGTCTTTTATTGAGGACTCGGATGCAAGTGTACGTGCATTGTAGCTACAGATCGTCACCAAAGTTCTTTGTAATCTAGGCGGTTTCTATTGGCCCTGAGATCTTAGCAGCCTCTCCGTATTCGTCCTATCCTACGCCGCCGAATCGGAGGCTCTTTCGGGGTTGGGGAAACAGGCCCTTTTCTTGCATTGTTTTTAGGGTTTTTTGATGCTCAAGTATAGCTTGCTTGGCTCTGAACCTGGGGCTGGGTATACTAACGGGTAACTTGTCAGGCCACTTCCAGAGTGGAGATGGAGCATATTTGTTGGAGGCGACTCATAACCGCCTTTCATATACTTCCCAGTCACTTGATTGCAGGCTTTTGGCCGAATCGACTCTTAAAATACTGTCCACATAAACTAGAACGCACCCACATAAGCGTGCATGAATACGGCTCATAAATAGAGAAAGTATGTGCCAAATCAGCGCAGCAGAAACAGGGAGTCCATAACCTGGATCCACCTGCGTCTCGGAGAAGCAAAGGTCGCTTTTGGTTCGCGATTGACTCCATATCCGCCACCTGGGGACGCGCTACGTGGCCTCGCCACTAACCTGCTCGAAATCCCTCATATGAGGGAGACGAGTGTTATGCCAACCAACTATTCGTCGCAAGCCCTCGGAATTGGAATCAATTCACGTTAGGCGATTTGCCCACGAAAGGGTGATATGTAACGTCTTTATTAGCAAAATGTTCTCTGTGGCTAAACCAACAAAGCTCCAAGTACAGTACCCCTCACATTGGACGTTCCCGTCCACGGCGAGAGGCGATCTGCTTGCACACCACGTCATTTGAAGTGGACAAATGAGCACGCTGTCGACACGCTATGGCAACTGCTTCTTGCTGTTCACCTATGACGACAAAACAGTTTCTTCAGATTCTAATCTTTACGCTCTTTTTGAGGCCACTTGCCGCCATCGAATTTAATGTGATCAGCTTAGTAGAGAAGAAAACCATAAAAACCGACAAAAATGCATTTTACACAGACGTTCTACAACTAGCTGGAGGGAGTAATCCAACAAATGTTTTTCTATAAAGTTGTTTTTGGGTGGTCTAATGCCAAATTTGATACGGCCAATGAAAATGAGTGCAGGATGATGAAATTCGAAAGAAGATAACGAATTGAGAATAGAAACCATCCAGTTTAAAATCTCTGCGGAGCAAGTCTCTTCCACGAAATTTTATTTTCTAAAGAAGAAAGTCACCGCTGGGTATGGGGATCTTTTAATGATCGACTCATGCGAAGATCGATCGTATTCCTGAGAAAATAAAATTGTGTCCTTTACTATTTTAATGGCAACAAGATTCTGCATCTGCATCTGATCACCTCACGCTCACTGCAAAGATTCGACTCAGCTATAAACTGAAAAAACAACTCCTACCGTCGTCTTGAAAAAGGAAACAAGATGTATATAAAGTGGATATTCTCCATAAACCTCTCTTTTCATATAACTAACAGATGACCGACTACACGCTGCAAGGACTTAAAGCTTGCGCCGAACAGTCTTCAGACCCTCAAAACAACAGGTTAAATACGCTGATCAATAATCTAGTTTACACTAAATAGTGGTTCGAAAGAAAAAAAGGAACCGCAGCTTTATCTTGCCTCGAAACATCTAATACGTCTTATAATAAAACCCTGTTGCTAAATACTGGAAGCAGCTCAAAAATAATCCACTCTCAAGAAGTGCCATCGGGATTTTGCGACTACGCTGTTTCGTTATTCGCGCTGATGAACGAAGATGGGGCCTTCACCACATCCCGTCATGATATGGATTTCATAGTGAAGGGATTTTTACCAATTTTTTCGTTCAACAACTCTCGTTTCAGACCACGAAATCCCAGCTAGCTAAAAGACTAGCGTGATTTTACCCTCTGACTTCCAACTTGCGATAGAAATCATGAACAGGGCCGCGGCTACAAAACGCGATGAATTCAACGCCAGATTACAATTGGAAACTATAAAATACATGTACTTCGTGAGGCCCACACGTCATTTTACTACAAAGAAAAACCCAGAGAGGTGGAGGATCTCGCACACGATCATCATACCCAAGAATGATGACCGAAGTGATCTTCGTAACTACAGTCCAATATGTTTGTTGAGTGCACTCTATGAAGTGCTCATGAAGAATGTCTTTCTGCGCCACTCGTCGACCAAAAAGTGGGTCCGTCCTATACACGAACATTAACAGACTGTTATTGGAACTGCAGAACAAATACACAACTTTTTCACAGACTCCTCACCATGTCCTTGAAAAAAGGCGTTTTACATGGTCAACAATCGAGCCAAAGCTGTTCACTGCCGCATTGCGCTAGAAAACAAGCTTCTTGGTTGGTAAGAGAGACAATTCCTATCAAATCTTTCTTTTTGTGGAAAATATCCTCATCTTTTCCAAAAGCGCTAGTAAATCACAGACGTTGTTTAAGGATCTCAACAAAGCGGGTAAAAGATTGGACAAGAGCATAAATAGGACAAAGAGCCATTCCGTGAAGATCCGTGGCGTGAAGGTGATCGAATCGAACTGGATGGCTTTCTAATTGCAGATACCATCTCGCATATGTGCAGACGTTCAATGCACATGGAAAGCAATTTGAAATGGAAATTCAACGCAGGAAGGAGAACAGTGTGGAACGCATTTGGGCCACTCAAAGAGGCCATTGACCAGCCAACAAACACAAAACTCCGCGCTCACATATTTCATTCAACTATCCTCCCAACACTCTGTTATGAACCAGAGCCTTCAGCGGGTAAGCTCAGCCACGTTAAGAATATTGGCAACACCAACAGAGCACTTGAGCAATGTCTTCTGACATATGACTGACAATCATAACGTTTAGCCGAGATTCGCAGCTCAGCTTTTCGAATGCTCTGTCATCTTTGAGACATGAACAAACGTCGATGGCGAAACATACATAGGGTGGTCATGTAATGAGAAGAGCACACGACGATGGGTGGACGAAAGTGGAGACCAAGCGAATAAAGAATTTTAGTTCTATACACACAAAAGATGGACAGACGTTTATTTGGCTAACCTCAACCTTCTGTATTCGCAGATAAAACCATTTTAGGATTCCTAAATGATATTTCGAAACTGACTTTCCTTGAACCTCGGTATCATTAATCAATATATATTCTTTCTTTGATGAGCTTACACGAGGTTGTTAGTGATATTTATTCATTTTCGGCTGAATAAGCCGAAAATAAATAAATATCATTATCAACCTCGTGTAAGCTCATCAAAGAAAGAATACATATTCCGAAATGAATCTCACAGTCGTCACCACGCCCGAAGAAGACCACCATTATGGATGACGAATGCCCGAGAGAGAAACGATTGGAGATTTTGTTGGGTCTGCACCACCAAAGAAGACGAGTCATTCAAATAAGCAAGTTGGTTATAAGCGGTGGGCATGCAAAATAAGTTGGACTTGAGCAGGAGTACTGGTGAGTAGGGAGCGCTTCGTTATTAGTAAAAGTCTTTTAGTTTCTATCTCCTTTACTTGCTACCAAGATTTATGTTGGTTACAGAATATAAAATGGAGTACCTAAATGAGCACAACATTGAAAAACATTGTGAAGTGCTGAAAGCAATGTGGTTTTATGGTGTGCAGAAGTAATATACAGTAACTAAAAGCTTGACTGCCATGCAAACCTTTAAAGAGATAGAACGGAGTATTTTCTTTAAATCTGTAATTATATCAACTCTTCAAGTGCTCCAGTGGCTAAAAAATACTACCCTTTGTGAAAACAAGCGTGTATGTAAGGGACATGAAATTAGGAGTTCTACTACCTCGCACGTCAAAAGAAGTGGCTTCTCTTTGTAAATTCTTTCTTTATCAAGAACAATCTTAGTGTGCTCGAAAATAAATTTATTCTAGGGCACTTTTACGAGTATTAATAGGTAGGAACAGCTTTTCTGGACTGACCTCTAGGCGATATATGTGGTTAGAAGGCTATCGCCACGATGCAGAACTACACAAAAGGTCTCTGGATGGTAGAAAACAGACTTAAAAAAAATTGATATAAGTGAAACTCGGCTCACTTGCCCCTACTTATGGGTGAAAGGCAATTTATGTCAGAAATTAAGTGTGAAAACAATAAGAATTATCCAGTGACACGAAGCAAAAGTAGCCCTCAGGACTTATAGGATCCACTTCCGAGAACAGGAAGAGCAGATGATAGGTTGTCAGAAAATATGCTTATGAAATACAATGAGAAGTCATAATGAGATTCAAAAGAAATTGTACACCCCTTTCTCACATTTATTTCAGCTTTTCTAGAATGTTGATAGTTAGCACAAAGGATAACAAACGAATATTTCGTATAAAGTTCTACTATATAGCATGGTCAACTCTTCGCGTACCATGGTCTGTTGAAAAGGACAGATTTAATAAAATTCCATCTATCACAGCGTTCGTTATCACTTCGCGTACGTGGTGTTCGTAATAAAAATTAAAAGAAAGGGGTAACTACTGAACCAAGGATTCTGCTATTCTTCCACTGTTCACCTCGGCTTGAAACGTATTTCACTGGTTTTAACTTTTACCTAACTTCTATTTCTTACGGTAGGACATACGTGGCATACAACCACAACGATGCTAAAATTTGAGAAGACTCGGAGCCTCAGTTGGACTTCGAACTCGCGAATATCCTTTCCTGGAACTCGCACACTATCCACCACACTAGCCGAAAGTCCTTTCTTTGCCTTTCTCTCAGTCTTGTTTAAGATCTACTATCAGCAATCACTTATCGGATTTATTGGTCTAGAGAGGTGTTCGATTTATGATATTTTGTTTATGCGTCTTTACAGGTTAATAGAGAAACAAATTTGAAGAACAACTCTCTTTTCTGTTCCAATAAAACTCAACTAACCCTGTTTGTAAGCTCACAGCTAACAGATGTATCTAAAAATGCAATAGCCGAGCACGAAATCTTCAACTCCACGCATTTAAATCCTTGTTGAGGGTGCACTGATTATTAGAGGCATAGAAGAAACTGATGGAGGAATATACGGTTGCCAAGCAGAAAACTCTGTGGGAAGAAGTGTTGTACTAGAAACTCATGTCGTTATAGTCGGTTGGTTTTTGCTTTGGTGTATTTTTGATATAAATAAGGCGTACAATGTATAAACTCTTTATTAATTTCATGATTTCTGGATTTTGTAGAACCACCTACTTTCTTAACTCGTCCTCCACCAGAGCTACGTGTGCCTGAAGGTGCTCCAGTAAATGTGAACTGTAGAGGGTTTGGTGATCCACTTCCAATCGCTTACTGGGTTCACCTAAAGGTTAGCTTTTGATGGGAAGTTTTCCAGAAGAGTGCCAAATCCAGTCGACTTCCTTCTTTCTAGAAAAGAATTTCGTCTTCCACGTTGTTTATTCCGTCTGTTTCACACAGCGATTACGGGACATACGAATGCGTTATAAGCAACACCGTCTTAACCATGTCTTCCACAATGGAGTTGATAATAGAAGTAATAAGTGACAGTTGGTTATTATAACTGCTTCCTTGGACATATTCTAAAAAATGCCTTGCAGAAAAGCCGTCCTCAAGCAGCTGTAATTGACCGTGTTGAGTGTGTTGGAGGCGAGTCGATGAAAATATACTGGACACCAGGTGCTAAATCCACAAGTTTAGCTTAAAGCTTAAAATCCAATTTGGGCGATCTATAATTACATCTTTAAAACATTTTCGAAAGGCTAAATAACTAAACAGGGTCAAATTAAAAAAGCAAACTATACTAGGGCTATTTTGTAGTAGAATCTCTGGAATAATAAATTTTGTGTGCAATATAGTAGACAGTGCGAGAACTGAGAGCATATGTGGAGCTTCAATGAAAACCCTCAAAGTTTTCTCGATTTAACTGTCAGGAATGCCTTTGCTCAATCCTGCACGAGAGCAGATCTCAATCCATGAAATCCAGTTGGTGTTTAAAAGAGCAAGCAAGGATTTTTTTTGAAGAATGTGTCGTTACCGCCCAATGAAGAACATTTTCTTATTAGGTACAAGAGCAAAATTCGGGCTCTGGAATAAACCTCGAATTCGCGGTAACCCTCACCGGGAGCTCACGTGGCATCCACCAAACTTAGCGGTGCCCTTTCCTTGCTATATCTTTCTCTCAGCCAGTTTTTACTTCACCGATGCTATCGGCAAGCCCCCATCAATGAAAATGTTTTGGGGCACACAAATTGCTATTGGACCCAATGAAACCGAAGACATAATGAATTCGAAACCACGATCTTTTAGCTTTTGTTTTTCGCCTATTCTTTGTTCATGGCTGGGTGGTGGATACCACGTGAGCCCCGGTGTAATGGTAATCGGGGTTCAAGGCCCAGCTGAAGTTCTGAGTTTTGCTCATATTTCAGCGTGCTTGTTCTAGTTGTAGTTTGCAACGGACCCTTTCATGGAAGAATAATAGACAGCAAGTAAAAATTAAGACATTGCTCTATTATTCAAACAATCCGGTCGCAGAAAAATGAGGGATAATTGACGTGTCATTGAATAACAGTCTCGTAGAGAAATTTTGTTGTGAATCTAGTTTGCTAACATGCGAATGCATTGTGAAGGAGACCAAGATATAGATATATTTTCTATAAATATACAATGGTGTGGCGCAGTGGTCAGAGGCGCCCTGCAACACACATGTGGAATCGATCCTCGCATCCATGGCCCACCTATCCTTCCATCCCTCCGGGGTCGGCAAGTTGGTACCAGAGTGGTCTCGGAGGAAAGCAGAACTGGCTCGATACATCGGCACGCTACCGCGAATCATTGTAAAGGCCACATATGCATTCAATCACCTCCAAACGATGCTTAATGAAGTCGAATGCATGGCTCATCCCTCAGGGATTGATCAACGCCGAGAACCTTATCCTTTTTATCCTTTATACTACAGTATTGACTTCCTGCCACTATAAGTCTTCTTTGAAGTTTTTAATGAATCGAATGAAACGTCAAGTACCTGTCCCTTGCAGAGATTCTTTTGTCGTGGGACTCAGTTCAAAGTTTTTTGTTGTCCACCTTTTCTGATGTGATTTCTTCAAAAGTGAATTGCCATCGGAAAAACGATTGATTTTTTTGTACACCTCTGTGTACAATGCAGTCGCTCCTATCAGGAGAAAGAAATTGAAGAATTAAGGAACAGCTATTCCTTTTCAACATCGTTAATGATATCAAATAAGCACATGTTTTTGGACGGCCTTCTCACGCTACTGTAATGAACACGAACATTTTTCCAACACTTAACCACAAATGCCTTTCCAAACCACCAACGTTGTTTCAAAACCACTTTATACAAACAAAAACAAAGATTACTTTTGGCTTCTCATATTTCTCTCTAAACTCCTTTTCTCCCTCAATTGTTTTGTAATGTTGTCAAGAGCAGTATTAACAACGCCTATTGCTTGCTGCTGTTACTGGATTTCAAAGTGGTCAGGACTAGGTCTACATGTTATGGAATTTTGTTACAGCACTATATTTTACTTTGTGTTTTGTGAATTTTCTTTCTTTGTTGTAAGTGAAGTAAACTTCTTTTCTTATGGATCCCACTGGGACTTTATTACGATATTCATAAAGTTTTGACTTAGCTACCGACATCAGTGGTATTTAAGTGATTTTATTATCAGGATTCATGGTTGCTTAAAGTGATTTCCGTTCCAGGTTTCAACGGTTCCTATCCGCAGTCTTTCATTGTACATTATTCTTCCGATGCGAATCTTCCTGATAACAGAACTCTCCTCACCAGTTCCAACTCAGCAACTATTGATGACCTAAAAGCGTTCACAAAGTACCGCATCTACGTGGAAAGTCGAAATCAGAAAGGGTCTACGAATTCAACTGCAGTAGAAAAACATGGTTAGTTCGAATAATTATGCTTATCTGCCGGTTGCTGACACTTCTGATATTACAATATCAACTTTTCATTTGCTGCCTACTATAATTTTCTACAGCAGGGTACTATGTGGTATACAACCACAACTTTTGACACTTCTGTTCCATTTCCCTCTTTCAGACGAACATAGCAGAAAAGGTCATCACCAATGTAGCGAAATAACCATTTCTCACCGCTCAAGAAAAAGATCGCTCATACAGGTTGTGTAGGACCTTGTTTTTCTCCGTAGTAGAAGATTCCAAATTGCTCCAAAAAATTGAAATTCAACCAAAGCAATCAGACACCATAATGTATTAGTTAGTTTAAAACCTACGGATTTGACACTTGCCAAAAACAGGTTGCGTGTAAAAGATCTTTGATCCATTGATGGGTCTAATTTAACGACGTTTTCGCGGTGGCTGGTAGCCACTCCCCACCTCCAACCAATGTGTTTGCAGCTTTTGGTGCATTTTTTTCTCTGCAACTCTTTATTTTTTTGTTCTTCTTTGGTTACCTCTGTGCTTTTCCTTTAATACCTTAATGAAGAAGCTTGCACACCGTTCAAACATATTGTTCTCAGCACGTGGTGAATACGGTGAGGCTTTGTGCCACATGTGGGATATGTGACGTTTATATATATATATATATATATATACGCATGTGTATATATGCATGTATATATACACATACATATATATATGTAGTACATGCTCAAGTACATAAATTTATTCGAAAGGAGATTTTTCCAAATTCCTAAGGTGAATGTAGCGTTTCCTGGCCGATGGCCGCCACCAAAAGCGTGTTCGATAAGGTATCGAATGGCTCCAAGAGATGTACATAAATCTCTAGGCGGCGAAATATACGGCCCAAAGGAAAATACGTTTTCTATCATTCACCACGGCTAGTTTGATCGGGAACGTGTGAGCCACTTATGATGCATCTGGTCACCGTTGGGTTGAAGGGTCTCAAGATCTGACCTATGCTAGAAAGAGCGTAGAAACACGGTTTTGTTTCGCACTTTTCTATCCATTCTTTGTTTTGCACTCGAGGACAAATTTTGTACTGAATAACAGGAAAAATTTTGGGGGTACTATGTTTATAATAAATAGCCAGACTTGAGCTATATTTAATCATGTCATTAGTCATGGTTTTTCACGTAGAAAATAAAAAAAAGTTACTCCAGTGCAACACAAAAATAGACAATCTTGCTACAAGTACTACAGAGATAAAGGATAATGCGTTCAAGCTTAATCAGTTCGTTAGGGATGCGTCGTGCATTCGAACCATTCCTAGCATCATAGAGATGATTGAATGCATATTTTGCTTAGAGAATGAATGCGGTTGCCCACCGGTGTCAAGGCCGTGTATTAATTTTTCAAAGAGAGTTATGGTACCCATCAGCCGAATCCAAAGTGATTGGTGCTTGATCAACATAAGGTGCCGAATGAAACCACCATATCCATTCACACATCTGTCACACCTAATCACTGAGCTGTATGCACCGTTTCATATACACTATGTGTTGAAGTGCTTCCATTATAGTCTGTTCAACGCTTCCCGCGCCTTCGAACGTCCGAATTAGTGGTGAATCCGAGTTGCGATGGGATCCAGTAGAACACGCCAGATCCTACAGGGTCGAATCGCGGCACGACAAAGCTTCAACATTCGAGGAAATAGTATGTTTTCAGTGAGGAATTTTTAGAATGAGCTAGTGCTGGTGATATTTTTACACTTACTATTCTAAGCTTAACAAATAATTTTAGTGTAGTCTAATTAAATAGTTGTTTTTCTAAGAGATTTTGATTGAAAGAAAGGAGCTCGTCAAGCTACACCATGTCAATGTAAACCAAATTAAAAACGATGTGGATAACTGCCGCGTTTCCGCCTTTCGGTTCTTCGGTCTAGTTCCTTTATTATGAATGAGATTTGTGAGAAAAAATAATAAATAGTGATCGTGCAATTCACTCTGTCATTGGAAATAAATAGCAAATATCATCGGGGCGCAGTGAGTTTCTATTATATCACACATTATTTAACTATATTTAATTTAAGGGAGAAATTGTTGACCCTGTATACCGGCTGAGGTCTGAATTTCAACAAGGACATTCTTTTCGCGTGCGAAGTTTGAGAGCGCCATATGAACCTAGTCTTCCTAGTAGTAGTATTGCACTAGGATCCAATGGTAACCATTTTCTATTTTGACGAAAAATGTTAAGGTAAATGTTTCAAAAATTTATCAGATGCGTCGTCCATGTGGTGGCCTTTCATTGGCGGTTTCTTATTTTTCTTTGTGCTTGTGACCCTCTACTTTTATTCAAAATATGGAAATCACAGGAAGCGAGGAAAAAGGAAAATTATGCTTTCCAATGGCTACGGTGAGTTGTTTTAAAACGCCTTTATAACGTGAAATAAATCAACAATTTAGTTTGCCCGTCATCGTTCCAACCACATTCGGAGAATTCCCCAAGGCGATCGATAAATCTGTGAGTGCTTCACCTTCTTCTTCAGCACCTAAAAATCCTAGAACGCAGAATGAATTCGACTTGAAAGTTTGTATTTGAACCATCGTCTTGTCTTTCCTTCCTTTTTTTCCAGCCCTTCCATAAAATCGTTAACTTTTCAAAGAAATTCGTTTTACAGTTAACAGTCCTTTGCTACACTCCTTATGAAAAACTCTGCAGATTAATTCCTTACTTTGAATGAATTTACCTGTAGTGTCAAGCAGTTAATTTCTTAAACCCTAAGCTAACAAAATCGTCACAAGTGTCTTTATTTTGTGAAGTACAGCTATAAGGATGCTGAGATATAAGCAAAACTCGAGACCTCAGGTGGACTTTGAACCTGCGATTGCCTTTACCAGGTGGTCATGCGTTATTCACCACAAGAATTGCGGCCCTTGCTTTTACCTTCTCTCGGCCAGTCTTTTTAAATCTATCGGTGTCATCAGCAATCAACAGTCAACGATAGTGAAGTGGAGAGCACAAATCGGCAATGAACCCAGTTACGCTGAAGCTCCAGTCGAATTCACAACTTCTCAACTTTTATGCTCTCCTTCATGTTCTTTTGTGGGGAATGCACTTGAGCCCACGGGAAGGATAATCAGCGGTTCAAAGCTCATCTGAGCCTCCAAGTTCTGCTCATATCTCAGCATCCTTATGGTCGTATATCACATCCTGTCTTGTCATAAAAAAAAAGGTTGAGCAGAAATGAATGATATGGTGTTCTGAAATCTTTATTTTAATGTACCTTAAAAGGATTACGTCTAATTTTCTTCATAACGCGTATTTAGCGCAGAAAATGTCTTGAACAGTCAATGGTATGGATTAAAAACCGATTCCGCTCTTCAAGCCAGTTTTGAGGTTCGTGGTAGCTTAAAGGTATTTCAAATTCACTTTTGACTCACGCGCTTGCTCTATTAATATAATGCTTAATATTGAAGGACGAGGTGGACTATTGCTTTTCTGAGGAGACGCCAAATGCTATTGATGACATGTTAAGAGAGAAGTATTTGTTCGGAGTTCAAAACGTTCCAGTGCAGCTAATGAACGATCTTCGAATAGAACGACTACGCCGAGAATTCAGACTGTCTCATTTGTGACCCACTGTTTTAATAGTGCCTATCATCGTTGTTATTGTATTTCTATAACTGTCGGAAACCCACACTGCAACAGCCATGAACATGCTCTAATTTACTCTATGATTCCATTGCAACTATGACTTGATTAGCGCTCGTGTGGGGTGGGAGTTGACGGTTTTTGCGACGCACATAGTCGTCAATTTGATCCCGTGTCCTAAATTAACGATTTATCTATTCAATTCGTTTTTCGCAGCACAGCACTTGATTTGACTGGAAAGATAAAAGAAAAAAACTGAGTTGATAAGTGGTAGGCTTCCTCAAGCCATTGTCTAAGGGGGTTCAAGAGAGTTCTTCATCGACGAAAGCGTTATCCTCTGCACTTTATGGTTTCATGATATATCTGAAGTGTGTTTCCATCAAGAAAATGGTACTGGCAACAGTACTTAACATGTAGAAAGTGTTTTATTAACTCTCCTATCTAACTTGGTATTTTCAAATTTCTAAAATGCAAACCTATTTATGTTGATTAAAGGAAGTGAAGAAATTGACGAATTTATAAACGTGATCTTCATGACGAATCAAGAATAGTTTAAATATTCACAGAGTTTTTTTGAAAGTGTGCACTTGTAGGAACGAGCAATAGAATTTATATTACCTAAATATCGTTGTATCACACTTCGATAGTTCTTGATTTCGCCACTCTCTCGCACATTTTTTGAACGCTTTACAAGTTACTCTCTTACCATTGGAAAATGGCGAATATCACAATCAGAACCCATTTCTAGAACTTTGATTGACACTGTAATTCTGAAAGCTATGGGTGGCAGAAAGCGCTAACGATAAATAAATAAGGAAATATAGAGCAAAAAACACCATTCGGCATTCGTTGAAACTCGGTGGCCATGTGGTTCTGTCCATTAGATGTGGATAAGACGCACCCACTTAATAATCCACATTTTGGCGTGTAAAGCAGCTTCCTAACCTCTGGTAGTTACCGTGAGTCGGAAATTCGACTCTCATTTCACACCCTTGCGACGAGATAGTACCAAAGTCTTCGGTCAATAGAGCATCTAACAACGATGAGAACACATTCATCGTGGTTACGCGCAGCATAAGAGACAACAACAGTGACATCCGTTCCGTTGCACAAGTCATTAAAGTTATTATGATGCAAATCCTATGACGGACTTTCTTTTAGCCTCGGCATTGATAAGCAATTCACTATCTTTCTTGAGGAGCAAACACGAGGTTGGAATTATAAAATTTATTAATACAGAATTAGGCAGTTCCAGTCTAAAAAAAAGCTTAAACTTTATCTACTGAGATTATGAAGGTGTTTGGCTCAGTAGATTGCATATGCCAATTTGCTCTTTTTATGATCTGAAGATGGTGAAGCCGCCGAAACGTCAACTACTTTGAACTAAAAACTGCTGTAATACCAAACTCTTGTTTGCTCATCAAGAAAGACAGTGAAGTATTACGACGCAGTTCGTTTAGCTAGTAAACACTCATAGGCTCACACGTACCACATTGAGTGAAAGGCTTGCATGATAAACAAAGGCGGCAGACCTACCTCTTTGAATCCGTGGATTTCGATGAAACGTTCTTCAGACGTCTTCCTGTAGCCAATTTTGTTCTTCGAGTGACTAAGGATGACCTTGCAATTTCAAAAGAATTTTTGAAGAAGTCTACATAAAACTGCTCAACATTAAATACTCAATCTCTTTCTCACTAATTCGTTAGCAACTTAGGAGATGTTGTTTGTAAATGCCTGTACTGGTATATTCCTCCTCGAGTATGAGATCCTATTAAGGTTATTGTTTGTTCAAAGGAGTCAAGTTCCCCGACCGAGTTGACTACTGTCGCACTTCCCAAGGAACAGCTCTTCTCAAGTATCACAAATGGAGTTTATTGGGCAGTATCTTCCCGTCTTAACCAAGCCGTGGACGTAACTGACGCGCTCATGTTAAAGGCACAGAACACTGTCATAGTCTTAAAAAAATGAGGCGGCCTAGAATTTCCTTGAGAAATTAACACAGTCTCCGTAGTCGAGCTGGGTGTGCGCACGTACAACGCGCCGAGCTCAATTAAAGTAAATGAGAAGCTTCTTCGCTGGAAGTGAATTTACCGAATTAATCTACGAAGAACAAAACTCATATACCCAGCCACAATCGCGTCCACATACACAAATATGCATGCGTACACACAAGAAATGTTAATTGAAGGCCAAAGCAGAAATTTCATGTCTTTATCACTGTTGTTTTTTTTGTCCTTTCATCTTCTCTCATTTTTGCAGTGTTAACCTAAAACCTGTGCAATTCATGGCGTCTAATGGCAGACGTTACGACAGTGAGAGTGTATGTGTATACATGTATATATGTATATATATATATATATATATATGCATGTGTTAATAGTGTTGATAAACAATGTCCTAAGAAAAGCTTGTTCGCCCACATTCGAAACAAGACCATGATGCAATGGCTATTAAGCACTTTTAATACAAGAAAGAAAAATGATTTGGTAGTAAATTACTTGATACTTGAATGACCCGTCCTCACTGACTGTGTGGGCCGTAGCATAAGTTCCATTTTTCGGAGATTTGCTTGTTAAGCCACTGTGGTTCTCTGGAATCTCGAGACCAGCCTGGCCAAAGTGTGCGCCAGGTCTTCACCACCACAGGTAGCCACAGCGCTTGTGGATCAGAGGGAGATTTATCACCATGCTACTTTGATATCAGGATGATGGTGAATCCTGGTATTGGTTTACTCTTAGCTAGGCTTATTTACAGAAACGCCGGACTTCTTCTCAACTTGAGAGACCCTGCCAGGGGATGAATCCTCGCTATATTCCTCAGTCCCCAGGTAAACGTCCCAGCCACGATGAGGCGGTAAATCATTGGGAGGATAAATGCACCATGAGATGAGAAATTATGTCCGACGAAACCACGCGTCTTTAAAAGTTTTCACTCTTTCGTGAAGTGGCGATGCTTAGAATTCTGGAAAGTTTTGAGCTTGTTCTTTCAGCAAAGGAAAGTAAGCGTTGAAATTATCCATTGAAAATGTAATGCTTCAAGCCAAGCCGATCACGAAAGATTTCGTTCGACTGAGTGAAAAGAGAATGTGTCGCTCACTGAAAGGTGTTTTGACACTGGAGGAAAAGAAGAAATATGGTAACAGTTTTTTCCTTGATATCCTTCGAGTAGGGGCGCGTGTACTGCAGTGGTTGGAGGCGCACTGCAAAGCACACGTGGAATCGGTCTCCGTGGCCATGGCCCACCAAGCCTTCCATCCCTCCGGGGTCGGCAAATTGGCACCGGATTTATCTGGGAGGGTGGCAGCACTGGCTCGATACTGGCCCGCTGCGAGTCATTGTATGGGCTGGATATGCAGTCAATCGCCTCCAAGCGATATTTAAAGAAATAGAATCCATGGCGGATACCTCAGAAATTGATCAACAGCGAGAGCTTTATCCTTTATCTTTCTATACTTCGAGAAGAGCTTTGAAAAAAGAAACTTGGTTGTTGATTATATGCCGAGTAAGTTTTCGGCTTTTATTTCTGTTCATACTCTGGATTCCTTGTTCTAGCAGTAAGAAGAAAAAACAGCAAAAGACCAAACGGATGATAAATGAACAGAAACAAAATTTCCACAGAAAATGGAAAATGAAACTTGCCATGGTCTGTTGTTGTCCACGTTATCCAATTGTTATTTTGTAAACAGTAAACAGTACAGAACAGTACAGAGTAAACAGAACACTTATACTCTTTAGTGAGAACTTTTTCAATGTCTTTGAACAATTTTTTTCGACCATGTTTATAAAAATTCTACGAAATCCCAACCAGTATACGCAAGACCACCGACAAATATAAAGGTAAAGGGAAATTGTGAAGTGAAATCAAACAAATTGACGACATGAAGGCTTTAACTACTCCTGGATACAGTGGATAATGAAAACAGTCTCTGATAGCATTTCTTCATTACATGGAAAATCGCCAAATCTTAGGATTATCAATTTGCCAGTCAAATAGGTGTATACAGTTTTGACACTACTGTCAGATGGAAAGACCAATAAGCAGGAAACTGAAGGCGAAACACAATGATGATGAAAGTATGGCGCTTGTCCCGCTTGTCCAGAAACGTCGACAAACGGTCTAATTACCGTTCCAAACGCGAAAATTTCGGATGCATAAGCTTTTTACGGCTATCGAGATCTTGAAGACGTTTACAATATACACATTCAAGAAGTTCGAAGAAGTGATCTGGTTATTTAATGAGATTCATTGCGAAACACGGAGATGTCAGCAGCGAAAATTATCAGTATGCGCGAAAACTGTGAGCGAATCCTCTGCGCTTCTTATTAATTACAGCAATATGAAAGAGTGTTAAAAAACCTCTCGATGAACAACGACACATTCCACGCATATCATAAAAATGGTATAGAAATTCCATGAAAATGAAGATTTCAAAAAATGCTTGAGCAGATTTTTCGATGAAAGCATGCGACGAAGTAGCAGTAGGGTTAAGATATGCTTTAATTCTCAAAGAGCTTCACATATAAACGAATATAATGCGACTAGACATAATGACAAGCGGCAGTAAAATGGTAGCCTCAGAATGGCTCGGTGTACATATATGGTTCACATAATCCCCGTTTTTTCTTGTTTTGTGCTACTGGTATTAGTGATATAGAAAGAAACCTTGTTGTACTGTTGGCACACCTGGTTAAAACTTCCAGGTATTCTTATGTCCTATAAAAGCTTTCGTGAATATTCTGAACAAATAATATACAATGAGCTACTGCCACGTAAAAGAAGAAGTGAGCTCAAGTGAAATTCACTAATGGTCTTTGCAAAATCTTTCGCGATATAACTGGAAAATCAGTAAACTTTCAAAAATTTGATTACACGAGCATAACTATGCTGTGGAATACCCTCACTCAGCGAAAAAGACTGAGTGCAATTATAAAGCAGTCATTAGAGGACTGAGGCACTCGCTGAACTCGATCCCGTTTCCGCTACC